GAGAAAGAAAGAGAGACAGAGAGAGAGCGAGAGGGAGAGAGAGAGAGAGAGAGAGGGAGAATCCCAAGCAGGCTCCATACTCAGTGCAGAGCCTGATGCAGGGCTTGATCCTACTATCCTAGGATCATGACCTGAGCTGAAATCAAGGGTTGGACACTCAAGTAACTGGGCCACCCAGGCGCCCCTACACTGGACATTCTTACTGAATTCTGCACTTGAAGCATTTCAACACATAAATGTAGTTCACTTAAAACAAAACAAATTTAAATAAAATACAACTCCAAAACTACCTTTAATTCTAAAAACATAGTTGCTCCTGAAATGTAACAAACATAGAATTTTAAAGGGAAAAAACCATTTTGTTCTTTTTAACTTATTTCAATACCTGCCCAGGCATTACAGAATAAACTCTTTAAATAACTGTCTTTTCAAATGCATTTCAAATCACACCTAAAGTACAAACAGGCAAGGTAGATTTTAATACGTAAACTAACTATTTAAAATTCTGAACATCTTTTTAAGTCAATGGTGAGGGAAAAAAAAAAATCACAATTTTTATCTATAGAACGACGTATGTTGAGCATTCTTTCTTTGACTTTCTTATTTATTATTCTCCATCTATTCATTTTGTAGCAAAAAGTGTACCTCTCTGAGGTAACACTGTAGATGTCAGCTACCCACCAAATGGCACAAAGTCCTGCACTCCTATTGTGAAAACATTGCTGCCGGCCAGAGAAACTCGGTCCACCCACAGCTTCTGAGCCGTTTTCACTGCTAAGATATCACAGTCAGGTTCAGGATCAGGACTTTCATTCTGCACCAACACAGAGCACAATTCATTCAGCCAGTTACAGAAAATACACAGATACAGATCTAGGTATACATATCCCCAGGACATATTTTATACAAAGAACTCCAACCTACCATCAAAACATTTATGAGGTTCTTTTCTATCCGAGATTTCTGGTCCTCTTTCAGAGTGGAAGCTGACATGAAAGAAGGAAAAAAAGCTACAACTGTAAGATGAGCAAGTAAGTCTACTAGCCCCACTGAAGGGATCAAAATACCGTAGAAAAAATATGTCTTCTAAGACAGCTAAGCACCATTCCAGACAACGTACAACAGCACGGCTTTCTATGTCAGCCCCAATGCTCTATATACTTGCATTTGAACTCCATATGAAGAATCGTTTCATGCCATGTTTAAAAAAAAAAAAAATAGGAAGAAGAATTTTGTCTCAACTATCATGAGACCTCAACTACAGTAAGTCCCATGAAAGTAAGAGTCCTTTCGCTTGGCAAACTGATCTGCACATGGTAAAAGTACTATCAAAGATTTGAGAACTATTCTTTCAGTTTGAAGAAGCTTAACGATGCTGCATAATTTTAAAGAATCAGAATTTTACTGTGAGAGCACCAAGTTACCTCTTCCAAGGAGTTCTAGGGAATAAGTAATGTAATCTTTTAACTGGGCCATGAGGTAGGAACACTTCAGAGCTGTAGTCAATATGGACGTGAGCAGGGTCCACCACCCTTCACTCCGATAATCACACATCACGTAATCCAGCAACCTGTCAGAAGGCAAAATGTCAGACATGCTGAAACGGAGTCACAAGAAAGGGCCTAAAGACTCCGTGGAGAAAATAACGTGCCTTACCCATGTTATATCCATGTAAGAAAACTTACTGAAATAGTTTAACAGGTATTTTCACATTTAGCTAAACGTGAGGTTTCCTAAGACTTTGAGAATGATTGTACCAACAGATAGTACTTGAAAAAAATACCGCAGAAATGGAGTTTAATAGAAATAGAAACATGGAAATAATCCATCCTTCAAAACAAATTTCTCTTCTAATTTTGCTGTAAGGTAATCGGATTACTTAGAAAAATAAATAGGGAACAGGACTCACTTCAAAGCTTTGGTATAATCCTTTGCATAATAATACTCCTCTCCCATTTGAACCACTGTAAAGGAAATAAGATTTGTATGTGCATAATTTTAAGTTATTCAAAGCTGCATGAAACTGTGGCATATTATGGATACATACTTAGATGACTTTTCATTCTTGGACATTTATATTTCTTAAATTGTGCAACAGCATTGCTCAGAAGAGTTATTATTATTTCCTGTTAGAAGAGAGAAAAGTGTGAAACATTCCAATAAAAAGAATCTCATGTTTTCCTCGACTATTCCAAAACATAGTTTAGATTGGGAAACAAAAAACTTACAGAGTGAACAACACTTCTCTCCTTCAGCTGAATGGCAAGAATTCCCACCTTCTCTTTTTCAGGATCAGAAAGATCAAAACCTGTGTAAGATAAGACGCAACCCATTTTGGATAGCTCATTTAACACAAACCCTTCATAGGCACATTGGATGTGTACACTCCTTGAATCCTTTACTTTAAAATAACGTATTTAAGATTCTTAGACATTCTAGAATTTTAAAGATCCTAAGAGACAGCTTTATGAGCATGGGAACTTCTCTGTGATCTCTGTTCTGAAGAGAACATTACTGAATTCAGCATTCTCTTGCCTAGCGATATCAACCACCTGATGAATAATATCAATTATCATTCTCAATACAAAATATACTTTCTGGAGGTTAAGGTATATAATTGCTTAACACTTAAAGTGTGATTGCCACAAAAATTGCTAAATTAAGTATCTATCAAACGCAAAAAAGATACAGAGAAATTTTTAAGGAGATACAAGTTAATACTGTTTTAAAATATCAAATCTAATAAATCATTAAAGTTAACTGGAATTAAAATATTTAAATAGCCTAAACTGGCTTATTAATTGTGACTTTAAGAGATGTCCGAATGTTTTAATCATACTCACATCTTTAATTAGAAGTTATTCTAAGATGTAGTGATATAAATAAAACATTCTAAAAACTAAAGAACTGAAAATCTTTAAGAAGATGCTTTAAAAAAACACATTTTTACCTCAACATAATGTGTTATGGCCTATATAGCCAATGGAAAAACTGTGATAGCAATCTGTGCCTTTTGAGGTTGAGAGAAAAGAAAGGAGGGAAAAATTATTTACTTAGTACTCCTTGTCGCCATGATCTTTGTCCATAAAAGTCAAGAACACCTGTTTGTGTTTCTAACGGATCAGGATTGGGATACATCACAGAAGCCTGTAAAGTAAAACACAACCCTAATTAAGAGTTTACGTAGCCTCGGGGCGCCTGGGTGGCGCAGTCGGTTAAGCGTCCGACTTCAGCCAGGTCACGATCTCGCGGTCCGTGAGTTCGAGCCCTGCGTCGGGCTCTGGGCTGATGGCTCAGAGCCTGGAGCCTGTTTCCGATTCTGTGTCTCCCTCTCTCTCTGCCCCTCCCCCGTTCATGCTCTGTCTCTCTCTGTCCCAAAAATAAATAAACGTTGGAAAAAAAAAAAAATTTAAAAAATAAAAAAAAAAAAAAAAAGAGTTTACGTAGCCTCTCGCAAACCAACTCTCTTCAGTCTTTGACAGAATAAAAACATTTCCAAAAATACAAATACCAAATACATGTTCAGATGTCATAGTTGTGAATACTTCAACATACGCTGAATTTTCACAAAAATTGAAATAAACGTTTCACTTAATATTTAGGCAGTATCATAAAAATTAAATTGAATAAATCAGTCTGATTGTGACAAATGATTTCATAGTAGCTAACTCTTCTACATTTCCTTTTCATCTTTGCTAAAATAAACCAATAAAAATGTGTTACAAATTATGCTTGATGTTTATTTCACACATATAAGTGCTTTTTGTGCAAATGAAAATACAGTAACGTGACAAGGAGTTTTAAAAAGAAGACATTATTTTCCTTCCTTATCACTTGTGTATTCAATCCTGGTATTGTCTGGGGAGGGATATTTTTGGCACCGGAATTTACAAATTTATACTTTTTTCTTTTTTATAATTTTTTCCCTCTGAAACGGCACAGACATATAATGCAAGTACATTGTTGAAAAATACAGAAAACATCCGAGAGGAAATGAATAAAAATTTAAATTACTTATAAACCTATTACCACTGTTGACAATGTATACATTAGTCTTCCAGATTTTGTACACATTTATTTGTTATTAACTGGAATAATTTTTCAACCTGCTTTTTTCCTTTTTAAAAAATTTTTTTAACGTTTTATTTATTTTTGAGACAGAGAGAGACAGAGCATGAATGGGGGAGGGACAGAGAGAGGGGGAGACACAGAATGGAAGCAGGCTCCAGGCTCTGAGCCATCAGCCCAGAGGCCGACGCGGGGCTCGAACTCACGGACCGCGAGATGGTGACCTGAGCTGAAGTCGGACGCTCAACCGACAGCCACCCAGGCGCCCCTGCTTTTTTCCTTTAAATACATTCTGTAAATTTCACATCATTAAATATTCTTCTAAAACATTATTTTTCATGGCTGCCTGCTGTTACATTTTAACAAATTCCCTATCGTTCATTTTGTTATTTATATTTTACGTTATAATTAATAAGTCTGTCCGAAGAACTTTATAATTAAATCTTAGTATTTATCTCTTAGGATCCCTTATCTGCCTTAGACTTCCTGAAAATGAAAATCATATGCAAATAACATGGTAGAAAATAGTCTGGTTATATCATGGTTGAAGGGAAAAAAAAAAAATCCAACCTTTTAAGTACTAATATGCAAACTGTTTTTGGACTAGTTTTTTAAGTAGTACTGTTGATAATATTCATCTGTCTTCAGAGAAGAAAACTGCAGATTTTAAAGGACAAAAACTGATACAACTATACAAATGTAGATGTATTTATACATGTACGCACCACGTTATTTTAAAAGTGCTTCTGGGGAAACTGGTATCTAACTATAATCACCCACGAGAAAGGCAAAATGAAATGTTAAGAAACTGCAATTAAAATTCTGCCACAGATTCTTAAGAGTTTTCCACAGAGAAAAACCCCAGGAAGAGAAAGAAGTCCAACGTTATCCTCTCTGGTGGGTCAAAATAAAGCACATTCCTCCAAAGTCCTTCAAACTCCTACAGCCGTGATCAGTGGAAACAACAAGATGGAATTACGTTACAGCACAGACTCAACTGTGACTTTTTTTTTTTTAAACTGTGACTTTTATTTGAAAGTAATCTGCTCTTGTCTAAATCACTAACTTAGTGTCAATCATAAACTGGTTCTTCACCAGAAAAACTTCTGCTTAATCCACAGGTGAAAATTATTTTCAGGCTAAAACTGAAAATAATCATAATCCCTAAAACTATTAAAGATAAAAACTGATGATATTCAAAGGCTTGGAAAAAAATGATCAACATTAATCAGTCTTCTCTTCCTTCAAGAGAAGGTTAATCCACTTCCTAAATGCCACGTAAGCCAGGAGTTGGTAACTTACCTCATGGTTACAGAGGGTTTTTGCAAGTTGCTTCCGCTCCTGGGCATAGTATGCTGCCTGCTGGTAATAGAAACCAGGATTCTGAGTTTGAATAGCTGTCAACCCTAACTTAATAGCTTCATCAAATAAATCTCCAAAGGCCTGGAATCTTAAAGAAAAAAAAAATCAAGGAAAAAAAAGATGAAAAAGAAAAAGGAAAGAAAAAGAAGCTTACTTCTAATAATTATTCATTCTCAAACCATAACCTCAGCAGACTGTGTTAAAATAATGCTAATGAGGAACTGCAAATTTTGGGGGTTTCTTTGTAAATACGAACACACACTAATTATAGGCTATAGATAAATTCTGCGTTTAAGTCAACTCTTCTGTACTGGCAAACCTTGATAAATATACCATCAAAGTGTTATGTCAACATAGTTCCCACCAGTCAGAAACATCCATGTTTCTGGGAACAATTTCATTTGGGGATTGTTAAACATCATTCTCAAATAGCAAGGTCCAGGCCAGGAGGGCTTTTGTTTTATTCCCTGCTATAGGCTCAGTACCTAGACATGTGGCAGAAACTCCGTAAATACACGTTGAATGAGAGAGATGGTGCCATGAATTAAGTGATTTCCACTAAGGAATTCTATGAATCAATATCTACCATTACTGGAAACATACTTATGCTAGATCTCTAAAAGCCCACTTACTGACAAAAAGCTTAGCTCCATGTAGAACTTAGAGTCCATGCTAATTCCATTCCTCCAAATCCCAAGTATTGAAAGAAAAAAAAAATTCCAAAAGTACAATTTAAAACATACTGTTTAGCCATCCATGCGGCGTGTTCAAAAGACAACTCTGCGCTTCCGATTTTTTTCTTACACAAGTCTATGTGCTTTCGGAACTGAGCGATTGCGTCCAGTGGGGTGTTGTGCTGAAAACACAGCCTGCAGATCTGCAAAATGTGGAATCAACCCCAAAATAAAGAAGAAAATAAGGTCAAAGGTGTATTCATTTAAAAATATGTAAAACGTGAGACGCGCTTTAAAAAGACTATGAAATTTCCTCTCAGGTTCTTGGCAACGGAATTGATTTTCTCTATTAGAATCGTTATGCTAAAACCAGAGGTTATATCTCCTTGATAAATGAAATAAAATTGTTCCATATTTGCACCGTATACCTTAGAAAACCTTCTTAAAAGTATAGAATTAGGGGCGCCTGGGTGGTTCAGTCAGTTAAGCATCCGACCTGACTCAGGTCATGATCTCACAGTTTGTGGGTTCGAGACCCGAGTCGGGCTCTGTGCTGACAGCTCAGAGCCTGGAGCCTGCTTCGGATTCTGTATCTCCCTCTCTCTCTGCTCCTCCCTGCTCACGCCCTATCTCTCTCTCTCTCAAAATAAATAAACATTAGAAACAAAAAAAGTGTAGAATACACAAAAATTATACTCAATGAAGAACACAAAGATTGGTGAAAATTAAATACTACCTCCCCAAGCACAGACTATAACTGTCAGAAAGCTATAAAGATTTTTCTGTACCACAATTACAGCACAATGGCCTCCATATCAAATAAGGATCACAGAAATTCTTGAAAGCTTTTTATTTGGAATGCTATTTCAAAACAGTAATAATCTACATCGACATAAGGTAAAAGGAAAAACAGAAGAAACACGGCCTAAATTTATTTCCATATGCTTATCATCAGTTTTATTTGTAAGGTACAAGGAATACATGAAAAGTTAAGTCTCTCATCCATCCCTGCCCCTCAGCCATCCAATTTCCTGTTCCCAGGCAGCCAGCTCCCAGTATGTTTCAGAATATAGTCTCTGCACAGATAAGTGTGTGGTCATTTATATATAACTTATCATTTTTAATAAATAGTTTCACAATAAATATGTTTAGTGACTCACTTTTTTTTTTTTTTTTTTTTTTTTTTACCTAATATTCCATACCAACAAGTAGAGCTGTCTCATTCTTAATAGTTGTAGAATATTCCCTTGTCTGGACTTATAAGTTATATTAACCAGTCACTTATTGCTGGGTTGCTCCCAATCTCCTCCTATCACAAGGGAATAAATATCCTCACATGCATGACTTATAAGTCTTATCATTAGCACATACAACAGATAAATTTCCTGACATGGAATTGCTAGGTTAAAGGAAACACCCCCTTTCAATGTATATAGTTATTGCGAAAACATTCTCTATAGATGTTGTACCAATTTACATTTACACAAGGAATCAAAGTGTCTATCCGCCCTCACGTCACCATCCCGGTGTTAGCCGTCTTTAAAACATGAATGTGGAAAGATTAAAAGCAAAACAAAAACCCCTCGCTTGCCTTCTGCAGGCATCTATTTCTACCACATACAATCTGAAAATGTTCAAATAACAGGTATAAAAGTTTCCTCCGAGGTGAACAGATACGCCTTTTCTATGGCTGTGCCATTAAACCAAGGGAGGCTTACAAAGTTTGAATGTGCTGCACCTTTAAAAATTCACGAATATAGGCAGTTTTCTTCTCTCTCCCTCCCTCCTATTCCCACTGAAAAACAGAAGCCCCTCGGGGCCCCTGGGTGGCTAAGTCAGTTAAGCGTCTGACTTCCGTTTCGGCTCAGGTCATGATCTCATGGTTTGTGAGTTTGAGCCCCAAATCGGGCTCTGTGCTGACAGCGTGGAGCCTGCTTAGGATTCTTTCTCTCTCCCCTCTCTCTCTGTCCCTCCCCCATTTGCACTCTGTCTCTCTCAAAACAAATAAATAAACTTAAAAAACAAAAACAAAAACAAAAAAACCCCTCCTAAAGGAGTCTTACAAAAATAAAACTGCCCTAAGGGAGAACTCTGGGACCCATAAACTCAAAAGCAAGCATTACAGCCGGTTCTGCTACAGAACCATTGCAAGAGGAGAGCCTAATTAATCAAATACTCACTTTCAGAGCAAGTAACTAATATGGATTTCCAAATTTCAAAAAGATAATCTAATATTTAAAGACATGTTTTCTTCATTTGGAAGTAGAACCATTACCTTGTAGTTTATAAATCCTGCCATTGTCTTAATTTCCAGAATATTCGTTTCATGGGCTCTCAATTCATGCACAAGATTATAGGCGGTCCTATAATTCCTAATGCAAACATGGGGAACATGGTTAATTATGATATAAGTAAATCTTAAGAAAAGATTCCCAAGAACAAATTATTAGAAAAAGGAAACAATCGTTACTCAACATTTCTTAGCACTGAACAGTGTAGGAATAACTTACACATATCCTTCTGAAAAATGATGTTGATTAATAGTATGTGGGAGGAATCAATGACTTTTCACTAAGAACAGAACCATTGCAAGTGCATTGTTCTGTCATTAACGTCTGTCAATAACTGATAGAAAGTAAGTTGAAAACGAAAGTGGACAACTGTCCAGAATTACGTTAAAAAGTCAGCATTCTGTTAAAAAGAAATAAGCTTTTTTTTAAAAGCACCATTATGAGCTTCTCCAATGAACAGAAACTGTAACAGCACAGAAGGTGCTAATCAAGACAGGGCACAGGTCAACAGCTTTTAAACCCAAGTATGTCTACAAGTTCAGTGGCCACTGCCGATCTCAGGCTCCGGCTGGAGAAGGGGGAGTGGGCTGAGACAGGAGAGCCTGCTAGAAGAATGCCTCCCCCGAGGATGGAAGGGGATGAGAAAATGTCCAGGCTTCTCCAAAGACAACTCTTTGCTCCTAACTTCCCCCAGTAAAATTTGTCTTTCCAGAATTACCTTTGAGAAGACCTAGAAGTGGTACCATGGGTACAAAGTGAACTACGTTAAAGCCAGTTACCATCCCATGGAGTTGCTGACATTTACACAACACAATCTGGTGTTCCCCACCTCAACAATAACAAAAAAGATGTTTCTGCAATATTCCTCTGAATAGTAGATTGACTTTTGTTTCTCTTATTCTTCTGCCCTGCACACTTAGCCTCTCTTCAGTTTTTATTCCTATGTTACACTGCCACACTCAACCTTTAAAAACTGAGTTAAAGTTAGAAAAAAATGTTTTACTAAATTGTGCTTAGTAAAAGCAAAGGAGTAAAATGCGTAACCACTAACAACACATACACAACTATTCTTCGAAGCTCTAAGCAGAGCCTTCGAATGAAAAATGATGCTGAGATGTATAAACTTTAACAAAAATTTAATTAAAAACAAAATCATAGGGGCCCCTGGGTGGCTCAGTCGGTTAAGCGTCTGACTCTCGGTTTCAGCTCAGGTCACGATCTGATAGTTTGGGCAGCTCAGGTCACGGTCTCAGTTTGTGGGTTCAAGTCCCAGATCAGGCTCATTGCTGACAGCATGGAACCTGCTCGGGATTCTCTCTCCCTTTCTCTTTGCCCCTTCCCTGCTTTCTTTCTCTCTCAAAATAAATACATAAACCAAAAAAAAATTTTTTTAAATAAGTAAAATCATAGATTAACTAACTAAATGCACTATACATCTTCAGAAATTCATCGTATTAGATAAGGAATGTTTAACATATATTTAACGGTGGAAGTCAGTCAACACAAAGATTTTACCGATTATACAAATAAGTAGTCAACAGGATGGGAAGAATTTTAATGTTTCTTTAGATCACAAAACTTAATCAAATTAGATCAGAAAGCTTTATGAGAGTATGAAATTTACTTCTGATAATAAAACGGAAATTCTTTTAAAATCTCAAAATATTATATTCCATTCATCTCTAAATGAATCAAATACTACATACACGAATCTAACCAACATAAACATTTTAAAATTAATAAAACTTTTGTTGAGATTCAGACACTACCATTAATATGTTACTGTTAACATAAAGATAAGAAAAATTTAGTTTGACAACCATTAAAAACTTACTTCAGGGCATTTTGTGTATCTTGTTTCAATTCACTGAAGAAAGCTATTTTGAACTGATGTCTAACAAATAAAAGCTGAAAAAAAAGAACAGAAAAAATATCATTACATATACTCTCTTCTAATGTAAAAATTACGATAATGTTTATTAAGAGGAAACACAAAAGTATTCAAAATTAAAGATCAAGAATTACTCCAACAAACAAGTATAGTCAAGGAAGCTATAAAAATCTCTAAGAACTTTAAGGGCAAAAAGTAGAAAGAGAAATTAGTTTTTAAAAGCTTTTAAAAAAATTTAAAAGCATAGAAGCTATTTAAAAACATCAAAGTATTACAGACATTTAAAAAACTCCTCTAAAATAATCAATGATGAATGCTTCTCTTATTTCCTTCTTTAGGAAAAATAATGTACCTGGTGTGTTGTCTTATTCAAAAATTCTTTATGAGATTTCACTCTTCTGATCTCAGTGTAGTAATAAGTCTGTGCATGTTCATAAAAGGCATTTTCTAATCTGTTTAAAAAAAAATCAACATTCAAACACTAAAGTTATTTTAAACCAAACTATTCTCAAGAGTCATATTTGTAAGACCTAAAAGTAAAATCATGACAGAGATAATGTCTATAGCTTACTTCATGATAAAATAAAAAGCAAAATATCCTTAATTTCTAAATAAAAAATGTAAAGACCCCCAAAGCCATTTAGTTATTTATAATTCACTCTTTTATTTTATAATTTTATAAGAAGTGTGAAAGAAACAGATATACAATATTCATTCGACTATTTTTTCTGATTTTAATATTTAAGGTTAAAGGATAAGAAAACTGATGGAAAAAAGGACCAAAAATGAGAACTGGCAATTGACAGAAGAGTAGCATTTACAGGATTCAAATCCCACTTTGTTCCCTAACTTTGGGATAACATAAGAACAAAGAAAATTTGACCACAGACAGATAAACAACTCAAAGCTCCTTTTGTGAAAATAAGTATGTATCAGAAGTATCTGCCTACGGCATGAAAGAAAGCTAAATTTACAGTCAGATAAAGGCTGGACTTCAAGGCTTTTCCTCCTCGGAATAAAACACAATTTTGAAGCTGTATTCAAAGAGTTTAGGTACATGTGAGGAAAATATGCTAAGAAAAAAAATGGCTAAGCCTAAACTTTAAAAATTTGCTATTTTAAGGCAAGATTTTCTATTTTTAAAACTACACTTTTTAAAATGTTAAAATATGAAAATAATTAAAATTACGTTCTAAGTTTGAAAGAACATATGAACCTAAGCTGAACTATAAAGTCTTATAAATGGGTAACCTTTGCTTTGAAAGACAAAATATGATTAAAAAAAAAAATCTGCTGGTTAGCATGACACTGATAGTCTATTGTCCTAAGACGAAGGCCTTTGGACTTAGAACACATTTTTATAAAAGAAAAATGCTTAACTCATGAGAAGCTTGACAATTCTTTTAAGTATTTTCACTGGAAATGATCAGTGAACCTCTGAAGCACAAGAGTCTCCTGATCACTCAACACATCACAGGAGTTTTATACACATTCTGTTTCTTTGACATTAAAAAAACACATTAACCAGGGGGGCCTGGGTGGCTCAGTCGGTTGAGCAACCGACATCAGCTCAGGTCACAATCTCAGAGTTCTACGGTTCAAGCCCCGCGTTGGGCTCTGGGCTGACAGCTCGGAGCCTGGATCCTGCTTCAGATTCTGTCTCTCTCTCTCTCTCTCTCTCAAAAATAAACATTTTTAAAAAATAAGTAAATAGGGGCGCCTGGGTGGCGCAGTCGGTTAGGCGTCCGACTTCAGCCAGGTCACGATCTCGCGGTCCGTGAGTTCGAGCCCCGCGTCGGGCTCTGGGCTGATGGCTCAGAGCCTGGAGCCTGTTTCCGATTCTGTGTCTCCCTCTCTCTCTGCCCCTCCCCCGTTCATGCTCTGTCTCTCTCTGTCCCAAAAATAAATAAACGTTGAAAAAAAAAAAAAAAAAAAAAAAAAAAAAAAAAAAAAAAATAAGTAAATAAATGAATATTTAAAAAAACTTAACTGAATCACTTAATCTTGTAGTCTATATACTTAATATGTACATCAAAATGTTTTGAAAGCACACAAACGAGTGAGGATGCCACCAGGAACTCTGCTAACTCCCTCCCGGATCAGACACTGAATATGAAGATTTACCGATATTCAGCATTACCCTCTCTCTTAAGATGAACTATCAATATGAGGAAAGGTGTAATAATGTCTTCCCTCACGTCCAGTGGACGGTCTTACCCCTGGCGCTCGCATCTCTATTTTGGAGGTCCTGGATCCAGAGCACTTGCTTTTTATATCAGTAATTTCGATACAGCCCTCCTTACTCAAATGTGGCATTATCCCCAGTAAGACCACAGACGTTAAGGGCAGAAGCCACAGTTTCTGTTTCTCTTGCACCCACGATAGCACTCAAATTGAAAGCTGAGGAGGGCGTTAAGGCGGGGTTTCTCAACCTCAACACCACTGGTGTTCTGGACCAGGTAATTCTTTGTTGTGGGCTTTCCTGTGCACGGAAGGGTGGAGAGCAGCACCCCTGAACTCTACCCACTAGATGCCAGTATTAGGAAGCCTCAGTAGGGGCCCTGATACATGTCTCCAGGCATTCCCAAATGTTCCCTGGAGGCCAAAATCCCCACAGTGAGGAATCAGTGGATGAAGGTGCAGGATGGATGAAGGACAATGGCTTTCTAAAGGAGGCTGCATGCGAACTCAGCCACAGAAGTGGAGTAAGAGAGCCCAGAAAGGGGAGCTGGAAGGCAGGAGTCCTACGAAAGCACGGTGACAGGAAACAGCGCTGTAAACGGCGAAATACCGCACCGTACGGGCAGGAACTGTCAAAAGCCTGGAGAGGAAGTCCGAGGCCAGCTGGGGGGCTGGGATGGGCCTTGGTGGAGGAAAAGCAGTACGGGTGTGCTACCAGTTTCCTAGGTATCCGCCCCCCTCTGCTCCCCAGAGGTCAACGTTCACAGTTGAAAACACAAAACGCACCGCCCTCTCCTTCCGCGTTCTGGGCAATCATGGCAATTTCAGCCTCAGCACCGCTGATCTGAGTATCCACGCTACCTACTGTTTATCACCTTCTGTGCGGAGATTCTACCTGCTGACTGCATCTAAGTTTTCTCGCAGTTCATCCTTTCGTTTGTTGCCTTTTCAAGCTCTCTACTGTGGAGTTTATACTTCTCTTTCCTAAAGTCGTGTCATTTACACACCAACGGGAATGACCTATTACTTCCTATAGGACATCACTTCCAGAAGTTTGCTTCTGAGACACAGGAACAAACAGAAGGGAAGTAATAATCAAAGATCAACTACACCGTTCCTGAGTTTAAGAGGGACACTTACAAAGAATGAAAAGGAAAACCATCTTATGGTCAAAATCAGTGAAAAGGTTCAAGTCTAAAATACAACCTGGCCAAAAATGTAATATTATAAAACTTCTCTGCAACACTGAAAGCTAGAAAACAACAGATACTGGTCCCATATTTTGTGAGATATTGCTGTGTCCCCAAGTCATATGCCTTTTAGATACAAGGGATTTATAAAGAATATTTAAGAGGGGCGCCTGGGTGGCTCAGTCGGCTAAGCGTCTGACTTTGCCTCAGGTCATGATCTTGCGGTCTGTGAGTTCGAGCCCCGCGTCGGGCTCTGTGCTGACAGCTCAGAGTCTGGATCCTGCTTCAGATTCAGTGCCTCCCCCTCTCTCTCTGCCCCTTCCCTGCTCACACACACTCTCTCTCTCAAGAATAAATAAAACATTAAAAAAAATTAAAACAAAAAACTGCAGTTGACCTAGATGTATATATGGTGTCAATGAGGTAACATTAAGTGGCAGTTCAGCATGTGTTGTACAATTACATCTATTTTCATATTAAAAGCCATGTTTGGACAGAAACTTAAGAAGCTGTTGTAGTGGTTATATTAAGGAACTGGAAAACGTTAATAATGGGGACTTTTCACCTTATAGCTTGTGCACCGTTTATATTTTTTCCCATGTACACGTGTTTTTGTTAATTAAATGAATCTACACAACCAATTTTTCAATGCTTCATGAACAATCTAAAGAAGAAACATTTTAAGATCTTGATTTACCTTATAATATAACCCACCAGGTGGTCAGTGTGGGGCAGCACAAACAGAGATTTTCCTGAGAGTTCACACGCATTACATAAAGCCGCAGCCCTTTCTGACGCCGTGACATCTTCTCCTGTTAACAAATCCCATAAAGATAGAGAAATAAAATGATTGGTGCGTTTTTTTCTAAATGAATGGCTCCCCAAATCTAAACAACAGAATTAGGAAGAAAAACTCAAACCCCCTTTCACCATGCCATGTGGTCTCCTGGGATCCTTGAGGGCTCTCTGGGGTCCTCAGAAGTTACACAGTACATATCTGTTAGGAAAACCCTGTGGAATTTTCTACGGAGCCAAGATAGACAGGCCAAGTTATGCCAACAGAGATGCCACATAACTATTTAAAAAACCGTAACTAAAAATGGAAGCAATAATCCAGGAAAGTGGTTTCCAAAATGCCACAAGTTTCAAAAGAGAAACAAAAAACATTCTGGCCTCTCAAAGTCTTAGAAGGTAGAAGAAATATGCATTTGAAACTAAGACATTTTCTTATAAGAAATTAGAAATCCTATGGCATTTTTCTTTGTTCCATTGCATGTTAAGAAAAAAAAATTACATAAAGAATATAACTTCAGACCTCAGATAACATTCTTTTTTAAAAGATCAAGTGAATAACTGTTTCATCAGTTGGTAGATATATGCTTACATGGTGAGGTAAGTGAACTGGGGCTGGGGGAGAATATTTTAATATTTAACATTTTAACATCAATTTTTAAAAACATTTTAATATATTTTAATTCTTTTTACAATAAGCATTTATTCATGCATTATTTGTACCTTTTAAAGTGAACACACCATCTTTCCCGTAACTGAACGCATAAAAGATTTTAACATCAAAAACTACACCTCCTGATAACATGGATGGGAAACATAAAGCAATTAATTCGTTATTAATTAATCTTTTGTTACCTGGGGGCAATGGAGTTTTCTTCTGAATCAGAACCACTGCAACTTTTGTGTTTCTCCCTTGTAAACTTTGCCTGCAATGGAAAAATAATAAAGTTAACTAAACATAACTTTTAACTTTTAAACAATGTATTCAAGACTTTACATAAAGTACAAGCTTGATGATTCAGGTGAAGGAAGATAAATTTCAACTAAAAACACCCAAGATTAGAGGAAATCTTTTCCTGCACACAAAGAAACCTCTATGCTACAATGATTGAGGTTTTAAAAGTATACTCTTGTATCGAGCTTCTAATCCTAACAAAAAGCTGCTTCAAAAGCAAAGTTGAATAAACACTTTCGTGTAAAAGTCATAACACAACTTCTCTCTTTATAGCGATACATCATAGACTGGTCATCCAAAAGAAGTATTTTAAAACAGCAGTGGTGATAAAACAAGTGTCTTGTGAGACTAAATAGCAAATTAGTTTTTCTCTCCCCAAAATATTATAAATGCAAGAGGAAAGCATTTGGAAATTCGGACTAATGTGTCTTCTAAATTTCTTCACACAGCTTAGCCTTGTACAAGTTAATGTGAAGCTGCCCATTAGGAACCGGACAAGTTTCACTGGAGGGCAGTGCAGCCTGAACAGCTCTCGCTCGGCTGCCTTCGGTAAGTGCTGGTAAATAACAGACGTGTGCAGCTAACGTGGTCAGTCTGGAAAACGGGGAAACCCATACCTGACAATTTCCACTCTGGTGGCGCACTCGGACTGCTTTTCTTTCCACTGAGGCTCGTCCCAGTCCAGTTCATAGAACACGACCACCAGGGCCGGCACCAGATTCAGATGTTTGTTCATCCAGCCCGTCTTTAAGATCCCCTTAGGAATGTACCATTCGTAGGAAGTCCTCTGCGAACAGGGGCAAAAGCTGAAGAGACTTCTTTGATAAAGTAGCAGCAGAAGCCCCTGTTATTGAGTGACGGGCACTTTACGTGCCTTCATCTCATTCAACATACACACAACACATTTTTAAGATGAGGAAGCTCAGGTTTACAGAGATAAAATAAGAGCTAACAAGCAGCAGAGGTAGAATCTCAACCCTGGAAATGCTTGTTTCAAAGACATATTACCAGGATGGCATTTCGCCGTGCATGACGAAAGAAATGCAGGACAACTTAAATACAGAAATGTCATAACAGTCACTCAGGGGTCAGCGCTAAGTGCCACATCACGGGAAAGAGGTGGTAGATGTGAACATTAGCCCTGAAGAAACTCGTGGAAACCTCTAATGACTTCCAAAGGACCCGCGCCGACTCAGACTGCTCCACTCAGGCTGATCCAACATCCACTTCAAGTGAGGAAAGATGAGGACAGTAAGGAAACCCAACACAAAAAGCTTAGGGACTCAGGAAGGAACAAGGAATGGGCAAATGAAAAGCTCCCTGCCCTGGAGAATGGATCCAGGACAAACGGGGGACAGCTGTGCTGGGCACTGGCCCTCCTGGACACAAACACCAACTAAGAACAAACATGCGAGCGCCGGGGTGCCGTGACTGGCACAAGTCCAGAGAGAGCTCACGGCTTCTACAGCCCGGAACGTAAAACAGTGTCTCCACTCTTCTCCTACACATAAGCAAAAGAATTGACTGGCGACCAGATCCACAGTTTCATCAAGGAGGTCTTACATTTGTGTTTTAATCAACACCCCCAAGTGATGATGATATATTTGGTCCATAGACCAGTCTGTCAGAAACACTGCTCCAGGGCAAACACACACACACACACACACACACACACACACACACACACACAGAACAGGTGGTTTATTCTGATGTCTTGTTAACTGACTTTCAGACCAGACCAACTCATAAGATTATAATAACAGGTGAATATATATTTTCTTTAAAAAGTAAATTGACACTGTAAGCACTTTTATTAGCTGCTATTATTAACATCATCCCATTATTTTTCTAGGTCAATCAGAGTCTCCACTACGATATTCAACCTAAAAGTCAGTTTTGAACTTAATGCCTTTTCTCACTCCATACTATATAAATTGTTTTATTTTATGTAGAAGTCTCCAGGGACAGAAAGTATGTCTTTATGTCTTATTTAAATTTCTGTCACCAGCCTATTGTATAGTTCCTAGTACCTAACACAAAGCAAGTGCTCAAAAAATGTGTGTGTGAAATTGAACCAAACTGTGAAAGCCATGGATTCTATAATGATAACAGGTAATGATACATGGAGAATGTGAGACCTTACTTTTAGAGAGGACTTTATGGAGACTAGGGGTGATTTTAAGCAAGTAAAAACAAAAACAAAACAAAAAAAATGAGGATAGAAAGCTTAATAATGATAACGTAATTATTCCCCTGGGGTTAAAAAATATATCATTAAATATACCTATAATGTAATACATACAAAAAGCCTTGGGTTTTCTTAACGCATCACTATAACCATCGCTTTCCAGCACAGACATCAGGAACAAAAAAAAGATACACACACACACACACAGAGGAAGAGAGGGAGAGAAGGAAAGCCCTCACTCAATCATAACGTCATTACCTTAGGTCTACATTTGGGATACTCATGGTCACCAGGGAGCACCTTGAAAGAAATCGGTACCCGATCAGCCCTCCGGTTGGCACAGAAAGCGTCCCAGACAGCTCGATGGACAGCATTATAAACCACATCCAGGCCCGTAAGAGTAACGAAAGCCATAGGCCGACAACATAATTCCACAGGGAAGTCCCACTGTGTGGGGCTCATGTTCAAGGTGTCACAAAAAATCTGAAATACAAATGTAAATACACTCAAAATGTTTTAAAAGTCCACACCCATATCTAATATAGGAGCCTCCACCATTTAAAAAATGTTACAAAAAGGCCAAAGACTTTGAGTCTTTTCAAGTGTCTGCAAACTGTCAAGCAAATACCAAATATGAGAACAAAAGGGAAAACTTCAATTCCTGAATAACGAGTGGTACCATATTTTTTAGAAAATCTTTCCTATTACAAAGGTTGTAGTCAACTTCATGACAAATCGGTGTTTTCAGTAACATCTCAAAATGCACACAGAACTTTGGGATGAGCAGACAAAGAAAGCAGGAAGGTGATCAAATTAAAATCAGTTTCATGAGTGATTTTTGACATGAAGAAAAATAATTGCTGACTTACCTATACGATAAATACAACTCTAATTTCTCTGTAACTGCTAACATCTAATTTCTGAATTCCTGGGAAATGATTAAAATAATATGCCAGTTATATAAATAGCTATGCTTTCACACTTTTCCACAATTAATATAAAATGTATTATTTAAAGGAATATCTAGAAGGGAAAAATAATGAGTGAAAACCTCTAGGAGGGTACGTTTCTACTGCATCTTTCAGCTGAGAATCAGTCTATGAATCCTACCATGCACTAACTTTAGAAAAGCAATTATATAGGGGCGCCTGGGTGGCTCAGTCGGTTAAACACCTGACTCTTGATTTCAGCTCAGGTCATGATCCCAGAGTTGTGGGATTGAGCCACACATCGGGCCCTGCACTGAGCACGGACCCTGCTTAAGATTCCCTGTCTCTCTCTCTCTCCCTCTGTCCTTCTTCCCTGCTCGTGCATGCTCTCTCTAAAATGAAAAATTTAGGGGCACCTGGGTGGATCAGTAGGTTAAGCAACCGACTTCAGCTCAGGTCATGGTTCATGAGTTCAAGCCCGGTATCGAGCTCCAAGCTGACAGCTCAGCTTCAGATTCTGTGTCTCCCTCTCTCTCTGTCCCTTCCCCCGCTCACACTCTGCCTCTCTCTCTCTCTCTCTCAAAAATAAATAAAACATTTAAAAAAAAATTTTTTTTTAACGTTTATTTATTTTTGAGACAGAGAGAGACAGAGCATGAATGGGGGAGGGGCAGAGAGAGAGGGAGACACAGAATCGGAAGCAGGCTCCAGGCTCTGAGCCATCAGCCCAGAGCCTGACGCGGGGCTCGAACCCACAAACCGTGAGATTATGACCTGAGCTGAAGTCGGACGCTCAACCGACTGAGCCACCCAAGCGCCCCTAAAAAATTTTTAAAAAATAAAAGAAAAAATTTTAAATCTAGAGAAAAAAAAGAAAACCAATTATATAAAAACACATTTACTCCAAACAAAATGGCCATTATATTTTAAAGATAATTTCTCATTTCCAAAAATCACATATCAAAAGTTTCTTTTAAGGGGTAATCTTCACCTGTATATCATACAGAACTCAAACACAATTTTTGTGGAAAGTGAGAAGCCGTCACCACCTGATAACCAAATAATTTTAACTGAAAAGTTAATAAAAAAAAAAAATCATGAAGCTTCTCACATTTAGGTACTGAAGGAAGAAGGGGTATTGAATAGATGATTTGGAAAGGTTACCAAAAATGATAAATGTCTACAAGAGACAGAAGTTTTAGAATTATTTAAACAGACATTTTCCAGATAGGATTTAAGTGATGAGGGCCAAGTTCAGAGAAAGAAAAACTAGTTCTAGGGAATTTGGAGGTGAAAAATAAAGAGACGGCCAAAACACACTATCTGGAGACATGGAGGCCTTTGCTTTGCACCAAACAATCTAGATTAGAACCCTAAAAGGGCCATTTCCTTTAACATCGCCAGAGGCTCCAGAGAATTGGCTGTGGTCTTTGAATATGGAGAATTAAGGGGAACTAGAAATGAGTTAGAAAGCTCTAAATCACAGTGTGGGTCCAAGAGAAATAGAACATGAACCACATAAATAATTTTAAGTTTTCTACTCATATTAAAAAACAGAAAGAAGCAGGTGAAATTAATTTTAATAATATTCTATTTAACCAATATGTCCAAAATATTATCACCTCGACATTAATGTAAATTGTTAATGAGGTATTTCACTTTTTTGAACTAAGTCTTCATTATCTGAAATGTATTGTACACTCACAGCACATCTCAGGTCAGGCTAGCCTATTTCAAATGCTCAGAAGCCACATATGGCTACTGGCTATCATAATGGACAGCCCAGCTTATGTTGTTGTAATTCTGTCCCCAAAAAACTACCGTATGGAAACCGTGCTACAATTCTTGCCACCTGCTACCTTAAAAGCCTTTGGCACTTGAGACGGTACGGCTTATTCTACCGCACAGGGATGGGACTGGGAACAACACTGGCAAAGGACAGGTGCAGAGGTTGTCTGGATCTCAGTGACAGCTTGTAGAAATTTCCAGATCTCCTGGAAGAAGCCAATGAAGCAACTAATAAACTGTGACATGGAAGGAGATGCAAAAGTCATAATGTGAACACTCTGGATGGGAGACCATGTAATGCAAGGGGAAGTAATCTGGAAGCTGGCGTGGAAAATAATAAGGAAGAGCCTTGAAAAGGATGATATACTGCAAAGAAAGGCGACCTCAGCAAAGTGGCAGGTAAAACAAAACAAAACAAAAACATCCCAAGGTGGTCACTATTTTTTAATTTACGGAGGTTCGGGGTGTAGTGCATAAGGTTAGTAAGGATGAGATTCGGAGAAGTCCAATTACGAAACGATCCTAAAAGGAATAACAATTGGGGGCCAGGATGGGGGGGGGCAGATGTTGAAAACGTGAAGCAACAACCCGACTTAAGAAGCTCCCATCCCCAAGGCTCTCAGTATTCTGCCCCAGCAGATCCAGAGGATAGGCGGAGAAATAACGCTGCAGCCCTCACGGCAGAGGCTGTCTTCCCCGTCTCCTCCCCCTCCCCTTTAAACCTGGAGGCCCTAGGAACAGGTGCGTCTGGTCTTCAGGGGCTAGAAGGGACACGCCAGGATTGCACCCGCAGACGCCGAAGGAAAACGCAGGCCCCCCACAACTAGCATTGTGAAGAGCTAGCTCTCTCCCTCGACGGTCTCGCCTGGCCCCGCAGGTCTCCGGGGCCGGACTCACCCAGGCCGCACGCCCCGGGCCCGCAGCAGCTGTGGCCGGTCGCCGCCGGCCGGGGGTGGACGAGGGGAAGCAGGCCGGGTGTCACGGAGCGCCGGGGCCCGTCCCTACCGCCACCGCCCCAGAGCCTGTCCCCGCGAGCGAGACTTCCCGGTACTGCCTTCGCAGGCACAGGAAGCACTTTCCGGACGTGAGCGACAGCGCCGTACACCAACGGCGGTCCGGAAACTTCACGCTGCTCCACGGAACGTAGGAAGACGCTCCCTTTCCTACGGGAGCAGGCAATAGGGGCGGGGAGAGAAGGAGCCAATAGGAGAAGCGAGGAGGGGGAGGAGGCGGGGCTTCTGCCGCTACCGCCCTGCAGCAGCTCCCCAGTCTCCCCGGCGCCCCACCCTCGGCGGCCTCGGGCTCCCCGCCCACAGGACCCCCCCCCCC